AGAGTAAGGGAATTAAAAAGTGCTCTCCATTTTTTTTTTTTTTTTTTTTTTTTGCCGGTCCCAGTAGGAGAACGTTGAATCATCTAATCCATGGTGGTCAAAATATTATGCATGGTTGCCTGCATTTCATTGAAATCCAAGTGTCAAGTTACGTCTGCGGTAGTTTTGTACGAGCATCCCTACAGTGCACCTGAATTCCAAATGGAGAGCTCCAGTGAGCGTTAGGGGGGCACGTACGGGGGCGGCGACCTGTAGGAGGTCATGTTCTTGGGGCGAGAGCCTTTGCCTTCGATGGGGACGGTGAAAGGTGGCGGGGGCTGGTAAGGAGGCGCGTTGGGATCGTCATCCTGATACACCGAATACTCTTCCAACAAATCCTGGTTCAGTAGGGTGCTGTGGGGACCGGCCATGTTGGGGTACTCTGGGGGAGGAAGCGGCGGCTTTTCCTCCTGAAGGATGAGGGGGATGCTGGAGGACGGCGGGGACTTGGAATCGTCCAGCTCATCGGCAAATATTATGGGAACTCCTTTTTTGATGAAGGTGGCCTGTTCCTCCATGGTCATCTTCCCTCTGCGCTTCTTGCGGTAGCACACCATGGCAATGATGCCAGCGATTAAAAGGAGGGCGGCGACCACGACCGCGGGGATGACCGTGTGCAGGTAGACGTCGTCGCTACTTCTACGATCCGTCCCAGGCGACGGTGTGGCGGTGGGTAGATCGGGAACTGGCGCAACCTCTCCCGGTGGAATGAATGTGACGCTTTGACATTTATTTGCGCCACGAATAGAGACGTTAATCGGTTTAAATTCAGGCTCCATAGCTTTAACGAAGGCTGGTTTAGGTGTGCCTTGCGGATCGGCAATCCTGTTACTGAGAGCTGTGATCTGCTCCTTCGGACAGAAACTCTGCGGCAGACTATTGTTGGTCCATTCCACCACAATGGAGCCCTTGGTGATGCTTTGTAGGGTCACTGTGCTGCTATTGCGATCGCCAAGAGCATAAGCTAACTTTTTTGTCAGAAGAATCTTTTTGTGGATGTCACTGCTCACACTTGTAGGGTCGCCGTAGAAACGTGCAGCAAATACCACTGACGGTTTGTCGTTGCTTGACCAGCGGTTGACTTGAACCTCAAACGCATCCATGACACTCCGCCCACCTTTATCAGTAGCCAACATGAAGTACTCGTGTTTGCCTTGGTGCTGCTCCTCAGGAAGGCCATACAAAAGCTGGATGGTACTGTTGAACTGAATCCAGGATGTTTCACTGACTGGCTCCCTGGGGGGATGCTTCAAAGTCAAACGCAGCTTGTCGGTGGTGCCATCTTCTTTGTCGAAGAATGTATCAGGAGGAATCTTCAGCTCAAAGTACGTGCCAACCCACGCGTTGACCTGGTCGATTGGGTTGCGGATTTCTGGCATACTATTGAGGTCCGGAGCCAAGGAAAGCGTGGTGGTGTGCTTCGGTGGTTTTGTTGTGGTGGATTTGGGTTCCCTGGGAGCCGGGGTTGAGGTTTTGGGTTTCTTGGGCTTCCTGGTGCCCGAAGGTTTTGGCTTTTTGGTGGTGCTCGGTAGCGTGGGTAACGCGGTGGCTTCCACAAACGTAGGTCTGGTCATGGTAGGTTGGATGGGCAAAGTGCTGGTCGATCCCACTGCCCTGGTGGGTTGAGAGGGACCAAAAACAGGCGTGTGGGCTATCTGATCTCGGACCCTCATGGTGGGCTTGACGGGAAGAGGTAAGGGACCGCGGACAGGTGGTGCAGAGTTGTCTGTTGCGGGGGCGATTGACGGGGAAGTCGGGCTGGGAACAACACGAACAGGGGGTTCTGGGTAAGTGGTGGGAGGGAGAAGGGAGGGCACCGGAGTGGGGGTGTTGTACAACTGTCGCTTGACACGTTTCACCGCATGAGGCTTCTTGTTGGCAATGTGCCAACCGACCACTGGGTACGCCAGCCTGGCTGACATGGTTCCATCCTTTGCGGAGGACTGGACAAGGCCGATGTCGGGGATATTGCCCTGCTCAAGGGCGCATCCAAGTTTCCACGACAGCAGAACTCCGTTCTCCACCACTTTCTTGGCATTGCCTGGTCCCGCCACGAAAGCAGACATGTCAAATAAGCGGTTGTTGACGACAGGGACGACCCTCATGTGCTCAACGGGAACATGCGAGAATCTTCTCATAACAGACAGTAAAGTGACCCTCTGCTCGGCAACCATCTTTGTCAAGTCGGCGTCGAGTATGACAGTGAGGACCGTGACGGGCTCCTCGGGGCCACAAGTGAAGGGCTGCAGGCCACTCGGATCAGACTGCAGCGCAAGCAGGGACGGTTCCGTGTCTGCTCGTTCCTCGGGGTGAACTTCAATCGAGAAGACCGTACTGGGAAAATCTCGGCTGCCGGTCGTCTCGCTTGTGTCTCGTCCAGACACGGCGATATGATACACACCTTTATCTTGCTCCAGGGCCAGGCCTCTCAGAATGCAGCTCTCTTTGTCCCAATAGAGCCATTGCGGTAATGCTGTCTGTCCCATCTCAGTTAGCTAAAAAAAAAAAAAATTATAATAAAAATTAAATAAATAAATAAATAAAAACAGAACAAACACAAAACACTCATAAGTCAGTGCAATTACTCAAATGATTATTGCACCACTTCCAGTTTTCATGTACGGAAGAACAAACATACGCGAGTCACTTATTATCAAATGTGACAGAGGGGAAGGGTTATCAAATGGGGCAAAAAGCCACAAGCCACTGAACTAGGAGAGCTATTGCTCTTCCTTTTCAGTTATTACTGTCCGTTGTGCAGCCTGCAACATATTACATCACAGTGAACACCCCATTCTGGTACACATCGAACAAATTGCACACCTTGGTTAGAAGGGAAACTCGAGGCAAATATTCTCTTTGCATGAAAAACATGAATCCAATCTCGGGGTTCTGCCATTTGATCCCGTACGGCACCTCTGCGGTCCACTAAGATCGATCTCAAACTGTCCTTGGGCTAGCACTCAAACGTCACGTGACCATCCGGGCGAGCCCGAGGACACAGTGACGTCATTTTCAGTTGACAGCAGAAGGCTGGCATAGGACAAAATGGCAGGGCCCTGACATTGATGGCAAGAGATCGAATAATGAAACGTGATTTGCTCTTGGCAGCGGCTGCGATTTGACTGGTCATTGCGAGCCGGGAAGTTCAGAGCGAAGTAAATAGCCTGCCAACATAAGTGCGCGTGATTTCTGGTGACTTTTCCGCCTGAAGGCATGTATCTCCCATGTCTGAACGTTTTCACTTTGCGAGGTTAAAAACATGAATGAAATCAATAAATGTCTCCATGTGTGTCGTGTATTATGCATGTTGCGCGGCAGTGTGACTGATAAATAGGAGTGCGTGCTGACAGACCTGTTATAGGTGAGCGAGCCACCACAACTGTTTGTACGCTTCTGCGATGTTTGTGCACACACAGACACAATAGTGTGCGCTCTACTGAGCAGTGACCAATCAAAACACATCCTCCAGTCAAATGATTTGCAAATGCAGCCGTCTGCAGTCACAAATTAAGAGGATAAATACGTCTACGTGGCATTATGTTGCATTGTTCTCTTTCACGGATGAAAGTCAAGACAGACGAAATGTTGTTCCTCCTCATTTAACTGATGAGGCATCATTGCTACCGCTTATAACACCTGCTGGTGGTTGAGCTTTTTTTTGTAATTAAATTGTAAGATGTTATGTCATAAGTAGTATAATGACCTTAAGTTCCCTACGCTCAAGTATGTGTGATGTTACTGACTGGAGATCAGAAAGTTTTTTTTTTTTTTTATATATATTTGTGTGTGCATTCAGTGCAGTCCACAAGTTGACATCTGTTTCCTGAAATAGGAAGCTGGATATGTTGAAGTGGTAAAGCCCCAGATTTGTTTGCATTATTGTTGTAATATGCGCTTTACTGTGTTTGCTTTATTAGCGATTTACAGTGTAGTACATACTTCAACGTTTAAGCCAGTGTTTTTCAACCGGTGTGCCGTGGCACACCGGTGTGCCGCGAGACATTGTCAGGTGTGCCGCGGGAAAATATCCAATTTTTATGCCTGTGCGGTCTTTCGCCCAGAAAGTAATCATGTAGTACCCTCCCATACCGCTAGGGAGCAGCAACAGCTAGCCAATTGCCTTGTGTTACAACGAGAGACACGCGAATTTGTGACGCATGAATGCAGGACTACGGTGAAACAATAGATATGAAAGATGATAAAATACTGTTTTCTTTGTGTTCGTTAGATTCCAATTCAAGCTGTTATAACGTCATTCTTCAAGGTTAAAAACGTTTATAGTAACAATATAACACGTTAGTTGGTAAAATAAGCGGGGGGGGGTTCACATTTTCAGCTAGTGGTGTGCCACGAGATTTTTTTCAATGAAAAAAGTTCGAAAAACCCCGATCTAAACAGTATAAATAAACTGAGAAATTATATTTTAATTAAATACACTGTTCAGAGTATCATTTTATCACATTTTTGGTTAGTGGTGTGCCGCAAAATTTTTCCAATGTAAAAAACGTGCCCTCATTAGCGCTGAGAGAGAAGCGCTCCAGTTAGCGTAAGGTTTTTAGCGTTCGAGAGCTAACTATGGCCATCGAGGACTACGAAGCGTCCCGTGGCTGTCTTTAGCATGATAACACGTAAAGCATTCGAGGAAACGCCGTTTATTTGAATGTCCGTCGAGCCATAAGCAATTTAGCATTAGCAGCTAATCAGATGCTACGGATCTAGCTTCAGTATCTACACACATAGACAGTGAGGTCCCTCTTGTCCAATCGGAGGCCAGGATGATGCTCGGTAAGCCAATGGCAGAGCAGCTATGAGTATGTTGAGTCTGGGAAACTCGCAGCTGTGACCGATATAAACATTGTTCACTATGTAAACCAGTGTGGTGGTTGCTGTTGCCATTTCCGAATGAATCAGTAAAGGTCGCTGTTGGATAAGACTTCGTTGTAGTGAATGTCTTCGCGAGGCTGGAGCAGAGAAAATGATTTCGTATAACGCAACAGGGGGGTTTTCGTCGTATGGGGGGCAGGAGAATGGGAATTGTGTTAATGCATGAAGATTTTTTCACTTAAGGGGGTATTTTCACCCATGTATGTTTCGTTCTAGAGGAGTTTCACTGTACCACACTCCAAAACTTTTTTTTTTAACAATGTAGTGATAATTTGTATCGTTCCCGAAGAAAACACATATCTGTATCTTTAAATTTCAGGCCATACTGCTCAGACGCAAACAAGACTGAATTCATGCTCGGTGCACTTACGTGAAGATTACAGCTGGCGTTCTCAGGCACCAGCGGAATCCTCAGCTGGAACACCTGGCCCACAATGGCCGAGGAATCTGGGATCCCAGGCTGCAAATCCTCATCGTTCACAGAGGACTGTGGCGGAGCCGTGGCCGTAGCAACAGACTGAAGCTCGGAGAGCATGAAAGACTGCATGGAAGCCTCCAATTCAATGGTGAACCTCTCCACCTCTGCGTCATGCTGTTCCGATGCAGCATCCAGGGCCGTGGCTATCAGAAGTCCAATTACCAGGGAGAAAGTCCAACACATCCCGGCTTCCCCGCCGCCCATGTCACCCATTTTATGTTGCGTAGCAGCAGGCCCTTGTGCTGCCTAGCAGATGTTGAAGAACGACTTAGGAGGCCACATGCACTGAAGTCAGTCAGATGATACACTTGGGGTCAGATTCCCTTGTTATGGGCTGTGCTCACTGATTGTGTTTTTCCTTTCGTTGTCCTCTGGGATCCATCAAGAGGGGTCTTTGGCAGCTGTTTAGACAGCCATGCCCGGCAGCTACAAGAGAAGACAAACAGATGTGACTTGAGGGTGTTTGCTTCCGTTTACCAGACATGTTTTCAGACCATGTGCTCAGGACCGCACCGTGCCTACGTGAGTTACGGCAGGAAATACAACAATGTACAGATTCGATCAGTTGTATAGCTAAGCAACAGAGGGGAATGCCGCACCATACTATTTGTGGTTACAAAGGCCTTTTCACGATTTTGTGGGAAAAATCTGGTTATTATAATGAAGTTTACATTATTAAGGTGTCCGTTGTAAGCAAAATCGGCAAATGGAAAAGGAATTAAGTGAAATCAGGATTTTGAAATGGGAATGTTATTGGCGTGAAAACGTAAACTGGGTACGACAAAAGGTTCGACTGTACTTTCATTTCGTGATATCAATTTTGCATTGGCTGTGGAAGTTAATGGAAGATAATTCTTGGAGAGGAAAAAAAAACTAAAAAAAAACCTCCCAGAGGGTATAAAAAAATAAATAAATGAACATTTTAAAAAGCTAAAATTGTTTTAAATAATGCATTTGCCATTAGCTTTATTTAAAGGAGAAAAATCAATTAAAGCTGGAAATGGCATTTTAGAAAAACTCAACTGTAGAGCACTTCCAAACAGCCATCGCTGCATACAAAGTGCATACAAAAAGGATCAGATTTAATGTTTTACCAGCTTCAATATTTTTTTAATTAATCCTAATAAATGTAATTTTATCAGAGTGTGTCAACAATCCCACAATTACATTTTTGGGGACTACAACACCAGCTGTTCATGTGTCCAAGACAGAAGTTTTGTTTTGTTTTTTTTTGGTCCATTTTTTTAAACTACAATATTGTCTCCTTGAGCAAAGATACCTGTGTATTTTAAATGGAACAAGTCAATTTGGGTGTTAAGAATATAAGTAGATGTGTTTCGTTTGTTGCACAGTAGATCAAATTACAAAGCCTTGTTATCCTGAGGTTCCAAGAGGAGAGAGAATAAGCCATTGGTCGATCAACATCATAACAAATATTTATATATATATATTTTTTTAAATCATCTACAACAAACGTGACATTTGTTTTGGCAGTCAACACTGATTGTCCAACGCTAGATGAAAATTTGCATTTCATTTATTTCTAGGGGAAAAAAAAAAGCACGGCCACAAAACATGAAGCGTAAACAATATCCCCGCTTCTAGGTAGGGTTAAACAAGTAATATTGAGACCATCTTTTTCTGGTCATGTCCACCCAAGCCAAGTCTGCAGCCGGAAAAGCTTGTATATCACAATAAGGATCACAACACAGAGCCACGGCATATTCTCCACAGTTAGTTCAATGAAGATCAAAGCCCATATGTACAAACAACCAAAATTCAAGACTTTATTTCAGACATGTAACAACCAACAAATCAATCTTCAAAAAGCTTGTTTTGAATCCAAATCCTCCTGTTGGATTCATGTCTGAATTTGTTCTTTCATGTCAAAAGCATTTGCATGAAAATAGGTTTTGCCCATAGGCTGGGTTTTATCCCGAATGAGCACTACACCTCACCTCGGGCTATTACCGCACACACAGCAAACAATCTGAGCATCAAAGTAAGCGCTCCACAATGTGGCCTAGATTCCATCCTGTTAGCGCACAATGAGTAATGGCCACCACAAGCCACAAATCCTCACTTCCTAATTTCACAATGCTGATTTGCACTTTTATAACCCGATATTCTAATGCAAAATGGAAGAAAATGGAAATGAAGCAAAATGGACTGATAACTATTGTTTACTGGCCTGGAGACACATCATGAAGTTACACTGTTGGATACAACTCAGCCATGAATTCACAGAGCACTATTAAGTGGCACAAACGGCAGCCTTTTTCCACTATTTGACACTCATAATTGCCCGTAGTACAAAGCAAGGTTATTACTTTTATAGAAAATTAACAAAATAATGAAAACTAAAATTGAAAAAGCATTTCCATTAACAGAATACCAAACGCGAGTGCTAAGAAAATACCAGTACAAACCACAGCTAACTGAAATGACATTTTATATAAACAATTCGAGCGAAAATGTCCTTCACTTTTGACGTTGTCATTTTATACATGAGCCTTCTGGGTCATTCTGTTTCATATATTTCTTTGGGCTTCACCGCTTCACCACAGGTGCACCACCATGTAGCACAAGGAGGTCAAGAAGTCACCTGGGAATTGTAGTTCACTAACTGTGTGTCACCTCGAAGGGACGTCATTGGGCAGCACCCTTCACTCAACTCACCCCGAAAGCTCAGTAACACACACACACACACACACACACACACACACACACACGTCAAAATTTTATTGCACACCTATTAAAAGCTCATTTCAAACATCAGGCCGCTTTAATGTAAGGCAAACAGTAGAGTGGCATATTTGCTTCTGGGTGATTTCACTCAGGTCTACACGAGTGGGAGTGAGGAGCTGAAGCAAATCAGTTTCACCACAGCGGCATTCTTGCTGTATGCCGCTCAAAGGATAGTTAAAAATTGAAAACTATCACAAATAATTAAATTCCGGATGCACAGTTGGCGCTCAGGGCCAATTGAATTGACGTAGCAAATGCAGCAGCCTCTCCAAAGAGCCTGAGTTGAATAACAAACATCCACAAGACATGTCCCTCCAACATTGTCCGACAAAGTAATACTGCGTGTGGCGCAAAAAAAAGATGCATGTAATGAAACCATCAGTGCTTGACGTTAAGAATACACTATTTTGTAAAAAGAACCGTGGTTATCTGCAGGCCTGGCAAATCCTTTTAACTATAATCTGAAAAGTAGCTGTGATTATGATCCATCTCGTTAGCTTAAAGCCCCAAACTGCAGCTAGCGAATTGTAGACTCAAAATGAGGAACGTGGGGAGATATTAAATATATATGAGAATCAAGCAAACCTGTACACAATCAGGACAGACAAAATGCCAAAATGAGCCCTAAAGATTTAATAACATTCACGGAGGACCAGTGGTTGTTATCAAACGCCCTTTTGAGAAGTGACCGTAAACACATATTTTATGGTTGACTTCTGCTTTATATACTGACTGTTTTTTTTTTTTTTTTTGTAATTCTGTAAGATAATTTCTGTCGTTTTATTTTCTTATCGCATGCTGCCCAAACAGTGTGTTCATACTAGGCCTGTATCGTTTGCCCTCGGTCCGACTACGATCTCATTTTGGGCCTTTGACAAATAATAAAACAAGCAATAACATCTAAATTCGATTTACCGGTGCTGTTCTAGAAACGCCGCGTGTGCGTGATTATTCGAGCGAGCGTTATTATCGAGCACAAATTGGGAAAATGCGAGCACGGTCCTGCAGCGCTTTTGCGGTATGTCCCGCAGCTGGCCGATGCTAGCAGACGTGCACCTGTTTTTATTCTAAGGGGATGAGATGGGAGCAGAGTCGGGAGCCGCTGCTGCGGGAAGTCGCCTCTCATATCAGCACACAAACGCATGAAGGCGACGGCCGAATGGGCCCCTTTGCCACACAAATACGTGTCGTGGGCAAAGTCAGAACGAGGGCCGAGCGAGAGTAACCAAAGTCGAGCGCAGCGAACTGAGCGGTCGTTGTCTCGCGAGTGTTGCTAACTAGTAGGCTAACGCTGAAAGAATCAAGACGGTGGTAAATGTTACGTTTATCCTTCCCGCTGAAGGAGAATGCGCTCTGTTAACTAGGATAGCGAGCAGCACTCAACATGACGACATATGTGGATTTTCCCAAGACGTGACAAGAAAGAGTGGCACGAGCAGAATGTATCCTGACCTTGTTAGCGAGCTAACGTTAGCCACCTCGCGCTGTACTGTCTCCTCCCCGATCGAGCCTGCACGAAGCGCAGCGAAGGCTTCCAAACTGCCATCAAAAGTGCGCTTTCCCCTCGGAAACGAATAGACTGGATGCGATCAGAATGACGTGAGGGCTCGGCGAAGCAGCTGATGGGCGCGCGCTTTGGTTCACTAATAGACGGCTCACAGCTCTGTATCGTGATGAGGTTGCTGGCAACCCCTCCCTGGCAGCCTGCCTGCCTGCCTCCCTCGGTCCGTCAGTCCTCCTACAGGGTATCAGGCAGGTTGAGGAGGCCATTGAGCAGCCAGGCGGGAGTGGCTCCTCCCTCTCTGGAGGTAAACTTGCTGGACGTTCAAATGAATCTTGATTTCACACTTCGTTTTCCCAAACTAACGCACCAGTAGGCACAGACAATGACGACCTGCAAGACGAGTTTACACGATCCAAATTATGTTTCGAGCAGCTTTTATTCACAAAAAGTCAAGAACTACTGAGAGGACCCAGAATAATGGAGTAAAGTAATGTACCGGTAATAGCCCACGTCATATTTAAAAAAACAAATATAAGAATAATAATTATTATTATAAATATTATTATTATGGGGGGGCCTGGTAGTCCAGTGGTTCACACGTCGACCTCACAGTGCAGAAATCGTGGGTTCGATCCCGGCTCCGGCCTTCCTGTGTAGAGTTTGTATGTTCTCCCCGGGCCTGCGTGGGTTTTCTCTGGGTACTCCGGTTTCCTCCCACATTCCAAAAACATGCATGGCAGGCTGATTGAACACTCCCAATTGTCCCGAGGTCTGAGTGTGAGCACGGATGGTTGTTCGTCTCTGTGTGCCCTGCGATTGGCTGGCAACCGGTTCAGGGTGTCCCCCCGCTTACTGCCCGAAGACAGCCTGGATAGGCTCCAGCACCCCCCGCGAGCCTTGTGAGGAGAAAGCAGGTCGGAAAATGAATGGATGGATAATAATAATAATAAAAAAAAGGCCCCATGCTACCTCACAGTGCAGAGGTCATGAGTTCGATTCTGGGCCTTCCTGTGTGGAGTGTGCATGTTATCCCGGTGCCTGCATGGGTGATCAGCTACCTTACCAAGCACAATTCTCTTTGGCAGCCATTCAGTGTCCAATCTTGTTTTGTACCATGGACCATTAGAGATAACTGTCTCGCTGGCCACGCCAGTCACCATCTCACTGCAAATGTAGCCGCTAGCGGGGAGCCAACCTCGTCATGACAGCTGCCACAATGGGTGTTTATAAGCAGGCTACAATGTGAGGGGAAACTTCAAAATAAAAGCAAAACAAGTAGCACTGTACATGGAAAGCAGTCCCTGACATAGCTATTTTGAAGTTGGCCCTCGGAAGCAATTGTTGTGGCAGTTGACTGGACTTTAAATTGAGGCTGACCTGACCTATTCTGAATGTGTAAAAGTGTGGTGACAGGCTTGAACTGGAGTACAATATTCAATTTCCTTTCTTCATGCGCACCAATGCACCACTTATGTGTACCCCTGTGTATAGGCCAAAAATGTAAAACACTCCAGTGTGAACCAAGCTTGTTTTCTACTGTGTAAAAATGTATGGTTATGCTATCTATAACCTTGAAAAGTCATACAAATGAAAACTGCCGACCCCCTGTAATTTTCACTTCTGGTCTGCGACCCATTCTTGTGTCCTGACGCACCACTTGAGGATCACTGGTCTAAACAATTTGACGTTGATGTCTCACGTAATGCCATGCATGATTGCAGTCCACTGAGGTCTTGACCAATATGCTAACATGCAAGTTCCGTTCAATTTGAAGTGCAACGTCAAAGGCAATTAGAAAAGCAATAACATAAAATTAAATTAAATTGATTTCATTGAGTTATAATACTGTATAGTGTATTGCTCGAAGGCACCTCAATGATACTCTCGATCACAGGTGTCAAAGTCAAGGCCCGGGTGCCAGATCCGGTCTGCCACATCATTTAATGTGGCCCGCGAAAGCAAATCATATGTGGCAACTTCCTTGACCCTTGCTTAAATCTGTACCGAAATCTCAAATTGTCATATGTCATAAATAACTGTGACATTTTGCAACAACTTTGTGACCTGGTTTACACTCACTTGAACAATAAGTGTATAAATACTTGACTGATTTCAAATCCAGTGATCCATTGTTTTTTTTTGTGTGTGTGTGTGTGTGTGTGTACAAGTAATAATACGATGTGATGCTTAAACATTTATTCGGTTTCACTGTCATAACGGCCCTCCGAGGGAAGACGTAATTCCAAAGTAGCCCGCGACAAAAAGGAGTTTGACACCCCTGCTCTAGATGAGAGCTGGCATCCCTCCAGCAACCAATCTGAGCCCATCCTTGACCCAGTCTTTGGGCCACTTGAAAATTCCAACCAGGTGTAATACCGGAATTTTAATAACTGCTGCAGTGGCCACTTTAAAAAAAACGGAATTATTTTGTCTGAAACACAATACAATGCTCCTTGCAAGTTTGCAATTCAACTCTCATTCAACAATCAAAAGCCTTTGTGTTAAAAAAGAACATCTGACACATTTTAGGGAGGTGTCCTCCAACAGAATCTCAAGTTATTGTCTCACTTATATAATTTTATTTGACTCTGAAGGTTTGTGCTCTAAAAGATGTTTTTTTGTTGTTGTTGTTGTTCATTTGCTTCAGGTGATGTAGAGGTCAAGTTTACTTTGATCACAGCCACATTGTAAAAAGGCTTTTGGAGAAACAGTCTGTTTTTGTCTAACAGAAGATATGCGCTGAATAAAATGATAGGAGAGGTTATGCAGTAAAACAACCGAAATTCAGCTGAGCAGAAATGCTCATGCAAAATACCTGATCTTATCTTGTAACCTTTGACACATTTCAACTTACTAAGATTGCTTTAATTCAAACAAAATACTTTTTCTGGAGAGACTGTTCTGTTCTCTCTCTCTCTCTCTCTCTCTCTCTCTCTCTCTCTCTCTCTCTCTCTCTCTATCTCTATCTCTCTCGGCATACATAGATATGCGTATCAAGAATAATGTTGATAAATGTTACTCACAAAACAGCGTTCGACCACATTTCTGGCTTGTTGGACATAGGCTGTACACTTTCAAGGTAACGACTGTAAAATGGGATGTGAAATCTTGTATTGTGTCTTCCAGGTTCATTGCTGTCAGGAACATTCTGTACAGTCAAGAACCATTTGTGGTCTAAAGGTTATATTTGTTTAAAGAGGCATGTCTGATTTTTTTTTTTGTTGTCCTGCTTGTGCAAAACAAGGAGGGAGAAAAGGTATTCTGAGATTCCACAATCATACATTGCAGCAGAAATGAGATTTCTCAAGAAATAATGTAAAAGCAAAAGCAATTTGAAACATCAGAAAATCCTTGCTTTAATTCAAAACATCATGTATTTCTCTTAATAAAATATCTTTTTGCTGTTTATTTTCTTTTTCTTTTCCGGTGGCCCAGAGTTTGCTATTACCGATTTTTTTTTTGGGGGGGCATCTCTCCTTCTAAAGATGTTTTATTTCTTCTTTTTAAGTGTGCATATTATTACTCATCTTTGTTGATAATATTAGCTTAATATCAAATGCTAACCTCGACCTTGCAAGTTAATGAGCATTTCAACAACTCCTTCTGAGATATGTTTCACAATAACAGAATTATTTAGTAACAAATGGTATAGTCCACTGAAGGGTCTCATAATTTGAAAAGAATGCAAAACATCTTTCTATTTAACAGCCCCATGCAATAAATTTCAATTTGCCATGAGGGGGCTGTTTAAGGCAGACATATCATACGGCTGTACTGTAAATTGGTTTTCACCTGTGCAGCACTTTTCCACCGACAAGGTACTCAAAGCGCTTCACACTGACTCCTCATTCACCGACTGATGACCCAGTATCTGTAGTAAAATGGGGTTCAGTACCGTGCTGAAGGGCACTTCGACATGATCACAAGAGCCAGGGAAAAATTCACAACTCCTGAGTTGGGAGATGACCAATCTACCACTCAGCCATGCCACCGTGTATATACTGTACTGTACTGTACTGTACTGTACTGTAGACTCAGTTTCTTTCACGGCTTCTCAGTCCACCAGTAATTGTCGCTCTTCGCGGAGGTTAAAGAATACATGCCTGTGCGTATTATAGTATCTGTTGTTGTTGGTGTTTCCCTATCTATTGCTTGAAGAGTAACAATACCGCTGCATGCATACTAATTGTTAGCCTGGGTGCCTATGTGGTTGCGTGACGTAACCATCAGTTGAGAGTTGCAATAAACAGTCTGAAGCTTCTTTTTTGAAGAATATTGACTAATTATATCTGTCAACTTTGGTGAGAAGTGTGTTGAGTCACTTGCCACCATACGGTATGTACAGTGCTTGTATTATCTGTAGTTTGCACACACAAGTCAAAGCAAAAAAACCCCCAAAAAAACAAACAAAAAAAAAAAACAACCCGATTGCTCTTATCGTAAAAAAATTCGATAGTTGTGTCACTCGTATCTCCAAGAACAAGTGTACAATGCAGCACAGCAACAGCAAACGTCATCATGTTTTCCTGTTCCATATGACCTTGATTAAAGAGACTTGATTTGTCGTGCTTCACATCACGCTCTGCTTTCCACCATCATGTGTTGCAAAGCATTCCTTGTGTGAAATTTTATCCACACCGATGACTTGTAATTTTTTTTCCTTTTAAGTTAGAAGAAAAACACCCAAAGAAGGAGCTGTTTTCTTGTTGGCAGCTCTGTGAGCTTACGCATGACTGCTTGTAATATCCTGCATTGTAATGGGTTTAAATGGGACACCAGCTCCATCGGGAACGATGCTCGGCAAAAAGAAGTTAAAAAGACTGACAGCCAGCAATGAAGAAGAAGCAAAGCACCACATTAAAACCTCAAAATGAAACCACCAATGTCATTAGGGCGACAAATACAGTGCAAATGGTCGTTCTCATTATGCGCTTATACGCAAACAAATGATTAGATGTTGCCCTTTCTGCGGAAGAATATTCAGTGCCGTTGATCTGACAGCATAATCATGCATTGGAACAAACTGAATTCATGGCTGCAAAGAAAAGGCTTTGGTTGAGTAATAAAAATCCTTGGCAAAAATGATTAGGATTTGAAGATGGAGAAACAGAGCTCGTCTGTTGTAGTTCACAAACCTGCCAATCATCCGAATCCCTCTGACTCTTAAATTCACCCCGGCGAGGAGATGGTATGAAGTGGACAGCCAGCATCTCGTGTCCACATATAGACTGTAGAGAATTGATTTTTAATTATCCGCATCTATTTCAAATGA